TACAACTGTCAAGTCATGGGTCATTTCGCTGCAGATTGCCCAGAACCCAGTCGAAAGAAGACACCCCAACGCCCCTGTTACAACTGTCAAGTCGTGGGTCATTTCGCTGCAGATTGCCCAGAACCTAGTCGAAAGAAAACGTTAGCAACACCGTCCACGTCGACACCCGTGGCATCCGTGACACCCATGGCACCCCTGGCACAAGTGCTTCATCTCATCGAAGACATGCATGCCGATGTCCTCGACCTAAAAGAATGCCTCACACAACTCCGTGTAGGCATCACACCTCGTCTAGAGAAAAGAAAACGGAACAGGAGCCCCTCAAGAAAACACGCTTCAAAGCGCCGACGACACCTTCAGTCCGAGGATGAGATGGAAGTAGAGGTTGAAGAAGATAGATCATCTGAACAAAGTGACTAACGCATGGGCCATGCTGCCCCACTGTTTTTACCAGTTTCCCATCGTTTGCAGTTTTTCCAGTGTTCCAGTGTTCCAGTGTTCCTGCCGTTTCCTGTCGTTTCGAGTTTCCAGTTTGTTTTCCAACGGCCCTTTTCAGGGCCACCCATCTCTCCCGAAAGACAACTTTCCTCCTTTGCTTTGACGACCCTCCAACCCCCCACACACCGTGAACCCACCCCCACCTCCTCCCTCCCTCCCTCCCTTCACCACCACCACCACCACCACCACGTCTATGTGTAGAACAACAACAACCACAACAACAACAAAAGATTTTTGACGCGCTTCTTTCAATGTCGATCCTGTTCCCCCTTTTACGGGCGCTTCTCCGGGTTTTCCCCTCCTCCCCGGAAACGGAGGTGCCGCCCTCTTGAATGCGTACGCCACCGTAAACGGATGCGACGCCATCTTGAATGCGCACGCCACCGGAAACGGATGTGCCGCCCTCTTGGAGGCGCGCGCAGGTACCTATCATGCACTGCGCAGGTCACGTGACCGGAAACGGATGTGCCGCCATCTTGGTCCTGTAATCCTGAGCTGGTCCCAGAATCCTGAGGGGGTCCAGGGCCGATGTAGACAACTACTCCCACGAGCACGGGTATGGTGCTGACAAACCTAGAAACATAATCGGGGCGAACCGGGATTCGAACCAACAATTATAGGTTTCTTGCGTGCCCAAGGGACGCAACTCTGCACATCGCGGCGCCTTAGACGACTAGGCCACCCGTGGGCCCCAAGGATATTGGAGATCCACCATGACCCTCATTGGGATTCCGTCCTACACCATCTGGCGCGCCATGGTGTATCTATGATCCCCAAAGCGCCATTCAATCGCTCTGTAAATTATCAACTCACTACTGCAGACACTTATTGACCTGACTGAGACTGGTTTTGGTCTGGCATTGACATTTTGACATTTTATATTTACTTAAACTGGATCGGTGTTTCTGCTGGTGGACAAAGGTCCCCGACTTTCATCCTAAGCACACCTCCCCTACTTCGTTGCGAAACATTTTTCTTAAGTGCTTCTCTTTTCTTGTAAGCAGCAGAATAGCTGCTCATTTACACAGCATGCGTAATTCAAAATTAACACACTGTTTTTGTTTCAACAACATCAGTAACTACGCTATCGTTTTACTGAATTGCCTGGTTGTTTTCGTTGGTTACAGGCAGCCGTCGCTAGGAGGACTGCCGTGCGGCGTCAGTGGTGCGGGTTCTGCCTGTAGAGCAGGTCATGCTTACCCTTTCAAAAAACCTGGTGTCATCACTGATTTTGTGTGATTTTCTTAAATTTTCATCACTATTTGGCCTTTTCGCCCAATGGAATTTGTTTCGGCCGATAATCGAGACTGTTTTTTCTCTTGCGTTTGGGTTTTATATGTGGTTAGTTCCGTGTCGTCGTACGTCACAATGGTATGTTTGGGCCAGACAGAAAAGCGGCGTTGAACCCAACTCACTTACTGGTCCAGACAGCCCGCCGTCATATTGTTTGAATATTCCTGAGTGTGACTTTAAACACTAGAGCCGCCACCTACTGGCTAGACATCATAACTGCATCTACGAAAATCTTGATGTTTGGTTTTTGAAACCAGAAAACACATACCGATTTGAGGTGAGGTAAGGGGTTTAACGCCGCGTCCAATATTTTTGCACTTATATAGCTCACTGAGATACCATGCCGCAGTTTTACATGAATACCCTACTCAGACACAGTAAGCTGACTCCGAGCCGACCAGTCCTTGTTTAGCCCCTTTATGCCGAGAACCAGACAGGGTAACAACACGTACCATCTTTAACGTATTTTGGTATGACGCGGCCGGGCATCGAACCCCGGACCTTCCGCTCTCCGGGTGGACGCTCTACCACTTGACCACGGAGGTGGTCTATACCGATTTGAAAATGATGGATGCATGATGCAACTTTGTGCAGGACGTAGCGCCATCTTAAGATACATGAATATCAAGTTTCAGAGGATTTCACTGTCTACTACATCCTGGTTCTGATATACGCAACAGCTCCTTGAAGAATTAATAGCATACCAGGACAGACCCACAAGCAATTAATCACAGACCACAAACCTGTTAATGCACGAGAAGCCCTCTTCACTGATTATAAACACTTTTCAATTTATATACACATTGTATTCAAGGAGAAGGGACACAAAGTCTGTACAAAATACTGTCATAGAAAATGATAGATAAACTCATCCAACTGTTAAGTGAATTTTAATATCAAATTTGATACTCATGACCGACCTTCAGCAAATTATAATGAGCTCGTCACACTCGGCTGAAAGCTAAACAATGGGATACGGGTACTTATGTATGAAGGGATACACAGGCCTTTTTATCAGTCGCTGGAATATATGATTCTACGTCATAACTCCTCTCTTAAGAACAGAATGAAACCTTTGTATAACATGTTTTCAGAAAATTGTCGGTGCAGCGCACCGAGATACCGCGATCATATTTACAAACTATGCTGCTCAACTCTTGTTAGGAGAAGTCTTTACAGAGAAGGGGCTGTAGGGTAGCCAAGTGGTTTAAGCGTTTGCTCGTCACGCCGAACGACCAGGTTCGATTCCCCACTTGGGTACGATGTGTGGAGCCCTTTTCTGGCGTGTTCCGTCGTGATATTGCTGAAATATTGCTATAAGCGGCGTGACTTAAACTTACTCACTTTATAGTGAGGGAAACAGTGATTACCACTGGGGCTTTAGCATTCTGTACCCCTGTAAAAATTTATTCGGATGAGTCATTTAAAAAAAATAATGTTTTAAGTAACAGTTGAATCGACTCCGTGCTTGATGAAGACGAGACTTCGCTAATTGGCAGTCTCAGCAAATTTGATTTACATACCTCCATTGGCAGTTTCTTGGATCTGCTCATTTGAAACGTATGACGTACATGTATACCAATTTAGTAGTTGATTACCCTTAATACACAGAGATAATGTCGAAAAATCACACGTGGTTTTGATTACAATGTCTAGTTGGTTGGTTGGTTGGCTTGTTGCTTAACGCCGCACTCAGCAATATTCCAGTTATATGACGGCGGTCTGTAAATAATCGAGTCTGGACCAGACAATGCAGTGATTGACATCCCACGCAATTGGGATCGATGACATGCATCAACCAAGTCAGCGAGCCTGACCACCCGATCCCGTTAGTCGCCTTTTACGACAAGCATAGTCACCTTTTACGGCAAGCATGGGTTGCTGAAGACCTATTCTACCCCGGATATTCAGGGGTCTACAATGCATGGGCGGATACAGTCTTTTTGAAAAAGGGGTGTGTGTGTGTGTGTGTGCACAATTAAGATCTATTTATTGTCTTTGGTGGTAATTTATACAGAAATAAAGATTTTTTTCGAAATAAAAAAAGGGGGGGGGGGGGGGGGGGGGGGGGTGCGCACCCCCGCAAAACCCTCTGTACCCGCCCATGTAATGTCTAGACCCATGAAGGTGATGTATTAAGTCTGCGTAGGTGTAATGACCCTTTAACATGTCAATAGCCGTTTTGATAGCCGGAATCGTACAAAGGTATATTAAATTATTTGTGTCGCTTTTACTCTATACAGTCTTCAAATTATCCTATAACACTTTCTATATGTACATTGACATCCTACTAAACAGGACCCAGTTCGGTCGAAATACCAGCCTCGATTATCTGCCCAAACAGACTCCATTCGGAATAAAGGCACAAATAGCCTTGAAAAGTATGTGAATGGATCAGTGAAAATATGTAACTACACCTGGGTCCACTTGCACAAAGCGATCTTAGCGCTAAGACTACCGTAAGCCTATGTTAAAGTATGGGAGTTACAATCATCTTAGAGCTAAGATCGCTTTGTGCAAGTGGACCCAGGTGTTTGCGAAAAGGATAAACATGTGCTGCCCTACCGGTAGTACCCGCTAATCACACAATGTCCATAATAATTATGAATAAATTACACAACTACGTTTTTGTAGCCTGACGCTGCGCCTTACGATGACAGCATGTAGACAATCGTGTAAGAATGTGCCGTTGGACTGTATGAGTAAGTATGCAACTTTCATACACATTCAAGACCGGAAAGGTTGGTTGTTTGTTTGTTGTTTAACGCCACACTCAGCAATATTCCAGCTATATGACGGCGGTCTGTGAGTCTGGACCCGACAATCCAGTGATTGATATCATGAGCATCGATCCACGCAATTTGGATACGATGACATGAATCAACCAAGTCAGCGAATCTGACCGACCACCCGATCCCGTTAGTCGCATGGGATACTGAGGACCTAAACAGACCGGATCTTCACGGGTCAAGTTTGAAAGGAACGTGTTATCTATAGACATATATCAAAACGTGCAAATCATTGAAATCATTGCAAATCCAACGGGCACCACTAGCACCGCAATAATAACTAAAATGTATAATTTGAGAACAATTGGTATAACCGAATTATGCAAGTAAAATATAATACCCTAATACAATATGTAATGTAGTCTCATATCCTACCAAAGCAGCATTTAACAAGAGTCAATAAGAAAGCAAATTATTTACCCCCAGCGACGAGGAGAGGCAAGCCTGCGCACAACAGTGCTACCAGATACATCATCATCATCATAACAGCCAGGTTTCCTCTGTTAAGTCAACAGCCTGCACTGTGGGTGATGCAGGTAGCCAGTACATATATAGGAGTAATGCATGACGTCATACTTGAATGCACCACGTCCCCAGTTTTGACTGGTGCAGTGTCATTGCTAAATATATATTACCTTATGATATACATTTCTATTAAAAACTTATTCTCATCCATTTAAACCTTTAGAGTTCGGCACTATAACGGGGTAGAATTTATTTTTTTTACCAACATATACTTAGATATATACGTGGTTGAGACTATGTTATGAAATGGAAATGTGAGCATGAAGTTGCTGCTTGGTTGTTGTTGTTTTTTTTATTACACTGCCCTTCACTGAGTGTTTCTTAATGTGATTCGCGAGGACGGCAATGGTATCTCAGTTGGCAAGAGACCGCCATACACACATACACCTGCATGCACGTCGCTATATAAGTGCAATAATCTTGGACGCGACGTTAAACCCAATTTCACCTCACTCAGGATCACATCACAGTTGGCAAGAACTATAAACTTGTTCGAACTAGAACACACACGCAAACGTTATATTAGAGAAATAATCTTGAAATCTTCACACCAAATGCTTTGTATTATTATAGGGATGGAAATAACGAAGGGAAATAATGAAGGGAAAACTATACAATTTTTAGCCGACAGAAGCCTCCAGATGAGACTGTGTCTGAGAGTAAAGCAACATGCATTGTGGATAGTCCTATAGGCCTGTAGAACAGGCAGGCTTTGTATTTACATTAACCATACATATCCCGAGGGATGGAGGAGCATTTAATTCACGTGGGTGTTACTGAACTAGTGGGGATATTACGCTGGGCGTGGTCACATGCACCTCACATCCTACTGGAAGCGACTGACATCCCTAGCACTGATTGACAGCTGTTTGACTGGTCGTGATGATGAGTAGCGCGTGTATACAATACCTACTACAATACAGTTGTTTGTGCGCAACATGTGCCACGTATACCGTCATGCAAAGCGGCCTTTTTCAGCTTTCAAACTCACCCTCACTGCGCAAGCGCAAATTTAGCCGCCAACAATCACTGGTCGTTACATGATGCGTAAAGAAATCGTGGACTTAAACTTTCATAATATTATATGAAAATACTGTTGCACCACGTAAGAACCAGAGCAGAACGCTGGTTTGATATACAATAAATTAGATGAGATATATGGCGTATGGGCGAGGGGTACACGAAATGCTGTCGTAGTGATTCAACCTTAAATTTGGATTCCAAATGAGAATATTCTCCAAATGCTCAAGTGTGCTGTTGAAGGCGTCAAATTGTGGTTGATCATAATTGATCATAATTGATCATAATTGTTGTAAGACAAACATATAGGGTAATGGTCTGAATATACTGTTGCACTCTGGAGTCAGGTTAATGACAGGCTCTTCTTGATTATACTGATGTTTGTGAGTTGTGTCACTAGCGTTATTACCCATGCCTATGCTTAGTCCCTGTTTACGTAGCTACTACAATAGACCCCAGTAGGGATTCCGGGTTAGAATAGGTCCCCAGCAAACTATGCTGGTCCCTAGAGGTGTCCGAATTGGTGGTCACCTTGGGGAACTTTGTCGATGGCATGTCGTCATACCCCGACGGCGGGGACAGTTGCCTACACTATCAATCAGTGGTTTGTTTGGTCTAGACTCGATTATTTACAGGCCGCTGTATAAATAACTGGAGTAACGCTGGGTGCAGCGTTAACCAAAGAAAGAAAAAATGGACTGCACAATATGTATAAGGCTTTTACTTTCGACTAGATTGAAGAACATAGATTGAAAGTCTGAAATAGCTGGTCACTCTGAATAAAACAGAGCAGTAATTGTCCTTTACCGAATGTTTGGTTGCCCTCATAGCACATTATCTATTCTGTGTATTTGTATATATATATAAATAACATAAAACGTCTTTCGTCTCACAATAGTGTGTGGAATCTACGCCCAGATTAAAGTACCTGTTTATCAAGGGGTATCCAAGAAGTCGTTGTCATTCAAAGCAAAACTAAAGATTCTCCTCTTTCATTAGGCTTAGAATATACATCAATGCAATCATTTTCCCCCAGACTGTTGTGATCATGCTTTTCATTGCATGTAGACACAATGTACTGTCAATGTATCTCGTGGGATGGTGTCTCAACAAGCGCCTTTAAGCAGTTGTGTCAACTGGATTCTAGCGCCTTACAAACGTCCAGTTATCATTATAACTCGTAAACGCACACATACTCAAAGAAATAGGTTAAGTAAATATACGTATTTACACGAAATATGTCTTGTTAATACTTTTTTTAATTTAATAGTCGTGGTACATTTTTGGAAATCCTAAACTTACGTATGTATTTAACCGACACATATTTGTATCATGTTGAATTGTTGGAACTTGTTTTGACAGATTGAATTGAGATAAATGGTGTTCACAAAGAACGTAAACATTAATTAGGATGTTAGTGTACTGTACCCATTTCAACCTATCAACTAACTTTGTATGGACTGCGATTAAAATATATATGTCTTAAGAAGTAAGATAAGTCTTAAACCATTAATATTACACATGGCGTCTATCCGTTCTGAACCACCAACAATTTTCATTTGACACTACCTCATGATCATTTTACAAGTGTCTCTTAGCAGACACGAGGATAATAGTATTGGTGGTGATAGGGTTGGTAGTGCTGGTAGTATTGGTAGTGTTGGTAGTGTTAATGTTGACAGGGTCGGTAGTGTTGGTAGTATTAATGTTGACAGGGTCGGTAGTGCTGGTAGTGTTAATGTTGACAGGGTTGGTAGTGTTGGTAGTGTTAATGTTGACAGGGTCGGTAGTGCTGGTAGTGTTGGTAGTGTTAATGTTGACAGGGTCGGTAGTATTGGTAGTGTTAATGTTGACAAGGTCGGTAGTGCTGGTAGTGTTAATGTTGACAGGGTCGGTAGTATTGGTAGTGTTAATGTTGACAAGGTCGGTAGTGCTGGTAGTGTCGGTAGTGTTAATGTTGACAGGGTCGGTAGTGCTGGTAGTGTTAATGTTGACAGGGTCGGTAGTATTGTAGTGTTAATGTTGACATCGTCGGTAGTGCTGGTAGTGTTGGTAGTGTTAATGTTGACAGGGTCGGTAGTGCTGGTAGTGTCGGTAGTGTTAATGTTGACAGGGTCGGTAGTGCTGGTAGTGTTGGTAGTGTTAATGTTGACAGGGTCGGTAGTGCTGGTAGTGTCGGTAGTGTTAATGTTGACAGGGTCGGTAGTATTGGTAGTGTTAATGTTGACAAGGTCGGTAGTGCTGGTAGTGTTGGTAGTGTTAATGTTGACAGGGTCGGTAGTATTGGTAGTGTTAATGTTGACAGGGTCGGTAGTGCTGGTAGTGTCGGTAGTGTTAATGTTGACAGGGTCGGTAGTGCAGGTAGTGTTGGTAGTGTTAATGTTGACAGGGTCGGTAGTGCTGGTAGTATTGGTAGTGTTAATGTTGACAGGGTCGGTAGTATTGGTAGTGTTAATGTTGACAGGGTCGGTAGTGCTGGTAGTGTCGGTAGTGTTAATGTTGACAGGGTCGGTAGTGCTGGTAGTGTTAATGTTGACAGGGTCGGTAGTATTGGTAGTGTTAATGTTGACATCGTCGGTAGTGCTGGTAGTGTTGGTAGTGTTAATGTTGACAGGGTCGGTAGTAAATTTATTAGGGTCTTGTTTAGAACGTATGACTTGCACGAGGTAGTACAGATAGGTCTTGTCTGGAACGTGCGAATAGCTCGACGTACGGGGATACACATGTCTAAAACGTACGAGGTAATGTGGATATATGTACTCAACCTACTTTGCAAGGTCATTTTACATACAGCACCTAAACTATATAGTTATCGTTCAGGTATGCACTGTAATTAGCACTCAGACATAAATATTTCACAAATAATTTTATAACTGATAAACCATAAATGTTTATGGTACAGGTGTACACCGTAATTAATACATAAATATGAATAGTTCAGAAATAATTTCATATCTTATCCAAAACGTTTATCACAAAGAAAACTTTTTTCAACAGTACACATAATAGCATGTCCCATTTTAATCTAGGAACTTCATTTTTAGTATTGAGTAGGAAAAAACGAAAAATGAGTTTTAATCATTGGGCCCATGGACCAGCACGTTTTCCTTTGATCAAAACTCATGTACCGTATTCGACGTAATAAGCGCCCACGGCGATATTTATTAATATATTGGCTTGTGAACAATCCCAATTAGCACCCCTTCCGATTGATCAATGTACACAAGACTTATTTCTTCGTGTATAATACGCACTCGTGTGTTATATGCACCCTTAATTATGGGCAATAAATTCTGGACAAATATATCTGTCGTATATAAACATTTCAGGCTGTGAGCATAAACCACGAAATTTATTTTTCAACTCTGTTTTTTTTCACCAAAATACCATTCTAATAAGAGCCCCTTTTTCTAATTTTGAGAGCGCCCTGGGCGCTTATTACGTCGAATACGGTAGTTGCATTGCATAAATACAAACTATGTATACACAAGTTCGTGACGCACAATTCAACCAATTTGTAACCAATTCAACCAAATCAAACACTATTTTAGCGTTATTTAAACATTTGGCTCATTTGTAAATGTGGTGAAAATAGTTTATTAAATAAATGATAAAATTCACCTACTTTTTAACTTTGATAAGACGAACATTCATGACAGCATTTTTTTAAGTCAGCAGAACAGATACAGTAAACTACGTTTATAACGAACACGCTTATAACGAACTGACGGGTATGACGAACTTTTTTTTTGTACCGACCACAACTGTTTATATGCTATACATATGTATATAACGAACTACGGTTATAACGAAATTAATGGCCCCTTTGAGTTTGTATTAACCGTAGATTACTGTAAGTGTTTTGATTGTATTTTGTTTATTTTGTTCTTCATGGCTCCAGATACTGTTTTGAGCCTTTGAGTATTTACTCATATTTTATTTTGGAGGTTCGATATATTCATGGGTCCAGTCTATTGAGTATACTTTTTTTATACTTC